CAATTTTTGCTAATCCTGTTGAATCAGCTTTGTGGCCCTGTCTGGTCAACCCAATGGTGGAAAAGCGCCTATCAGGTTTTTGCCAAGATCTTTCTCTTACTCTAGCACCCACTCCTCCCTTTTCAAATTAATATGGTTTCCATGGAATGATCTGACAGTCAATCCCAGTGTTCAGACACCTGCCAATACCCATGTCTTTCAGACAGGGATGTCAAGGTGCTCAGAGGCCCCCCCAACTCTTTCTTGCAGCCCCACCTAGCCATCAGCTACATATATGCTAACCAAGAGGGGTTAAATAGGAAGCCCCAGCCAAGGCTCTGCGCACCAGAAGGGCTTGAGGATGGCTGAATGGAGGGCATTACCTTTGCTGGCATCTGTTTTAAGGTTCAGTGGAATCATTAACATGAATTGTTAAAGGTGCCACCTTCCTGCACCTTGTCACAAAGTATCACCTTGTGATACATCCACTGGGGTGGAACACCTCCAGGCCTCACAGCTCCCTAGCTCACAGCCTAGTGTGGGGAAGGGTGGACCTTGTAGCCAGATTTTCCCAAATCTCTTCCAATCCCAGAGGGACTACTTTCTATGACTTCAAGCACATTGCTCTATGTCCCCAACCTCAGTTTGCTCATCTGTAACATGGGCATAACCACAGTACCTTCAACACAGGATTGCTGCAAGGACTCAGTGTATTAGTATATACCAGCTAGTCAGAACAGTGCTGGCAGGCACATAGCAAGCACGAGGTAAAAGCAGGTTCATATTTACACAGATTGGGAAATCTGTCAAAACACTGCCAATTGCAGCTTCCTGTAGTATATATGCAGAGCACATGGGTTTATCTTTTAGGGTCTTCAGATGTGAATTGCAGTCTCCTGCTTGGCTCCAAGGACCCTCTCTGGTCTCCCTACTTGCCACTGATCTCTGCATTACCCTGGCCAGTGATGGGTGTGAGGAAGCATTTCAGGGTAGAGAAGTCCAGGGTCTTCAATCATATCCCCAGAGACTGAGTTCTGCGGCTATGTGACTTTGAGGATTTTTTTAACCTTTGTGATTCTTATGATCCTTGAATTACAAACGGGGGACCTGGTGCTATATTCAGGAAGGTTTCTGTGCAAATTAATAGAAACAGAACAGGTACTCACATGAACCTTTTCTATCAGTAAATATCCCATAAATAATGGCTATTGTGGGCCTGGTTCCCTTGCAATGTACCAGGTCCTCCCTCTCCAATCCTCCATCCTCTTGATCTCCCTGTGGCCTTCATGGAGATGAAAGAGTTCAAGAATGGAAGGAAGGCTGCCAGTACAGATCCCACTTCCAACACAGTCCCAGGAGAAGTGGTGCTCATTGTTGTTAACTCTGTAGCTCGGCCTGGTTTGACTCTTACTTTAAATGGCCTCAGCTCCATCCTGCCCCCTTTTGTGTTACTCTACTCTGAACCCTGCTAACACTTGTGAGTGGTTATGAAATGATGGTGTGCATATGTGGATTTGAAACTGTCCCAACACATGGACATCTTTATGATAACCTCGAGTGCGGAAGATTAAATCTATGTGGTATCAGATGTGTCAGGACAAGGAAATGGAGGCTTGGAAATGATAATCAGCTTACCCCAGGTTGTAGCTAGAAGGTGGGTACAGAGCTATTGTTTGAGCCCAGAGATGCCTGTCTCTAGGCCAGTAGGCTACACAACACATTTTTGGTGTGATGCCATTTCTTCTGGAGGGCATCTGAGACGAGGGTGGAGCTCCTTTAGCATTTATTTGTTTCAAGTTACAGTATTTGCCACTACAGTATTTGCCTTTTCATTATTTTGATGAATCTTGCACTAAGTTGTTTGTGGGGAGGGGTATGGGTGGCGGGGGGCGGGGGGGAAGATTCCTTTTCTGCAAAAATTAGGAAATTCCAGCACCTAGCACATTTCAGTGATTAGAAAATTCCTATATATATCCCACTGATCTTAATCCAGTTCTCACTTGCCAACCTCTTGAACAGAATCAGCTTGCAATACTTCATGCTAATTAAAACATGATGGAATCAGGCTATTTGCAAAATTAGCACTTCTGAATGTCTGGCCTCTGTGGCCCCAGTGGGGCCCACTGAGGCCCACCTCTGTGTTGCCTTGGCAAGAATTCCTGCTGAGAGGACAGTCTATCCATCCTGGGTCTTGAGAGGCATGCTTACCTCGAAAAATGCAAACATCCCTGAACTTTGCTTACCGGATAAAAGGCAGCATTAGCTTCCCGTTGGCATCCCTTGAATTTCCTCCTACAGGATCAATCACACGCCAAGCCAGACACGTGGCCCTTGCCTGTAATTAATCTCGGGGAGGAGGGGAGGCATAGCTCCTCTGTGATGGATTGCTGTATCAGAGTGTTGCTTTCTGGGGGGAGGGGTGGGAGAAGATGATAATAAGCACTGAGGATGGAGACGCTGCTCAGGCGCCATGTGGAGCAAATCAGCATTATATATATATATATATATTTTTAATGGTTGATGCACCATCAGAAAAATTCACTTTTGTCTTTGAACTACTGAGCACTGGGGAGGGAGTCTGCGATTCTGTTTTTCTTTTCCACAATGTGAATTTGGTGGCTCAGTTGTGTTCCCCCTTCTCCGCCCCCTTCTTTTTTTTTAGCCAAATCAAAGTTGGCTAGGTCCTGTCTCTTTGGTGGTTTTACAGATGTGCTCAGCACCATGGTCTGTCCAAGGGATGGATGTGCTTATGTTTCTCTGCTGAAAAGGATTTAAACATGACATTTTTATACAATTGCTCTCAGATGCTCTATTTTTAAAATTCTTCATTGAATTTAAAAATGCTTACAGGTGGGGTTTTTTGTTTGTTTGTTTGTTTTAAGCGCAATCATCCTGGTACTAGGTTTGTGGAGTGGGGGCGATCACAGGGGTGTGAGAATCCTCCTCATTCATCAGCCCTGACAAGGACTTGAGGCATTAAGAGCTCCCAACAGAGTTGTCAGCTCCTTGCCTTTCCTGAATAATGTTGTTTGTTACTATTTTAAGACACAAGCAACCTGCAGGAAAATCTTACTTCAAAGAAGCGCAACACCCAGAAGCCTCCAACAACATGAAATCCCCTGAACAGCAACTTTTCTTTGAGAGTTCTCGAAGGACTTGGTTAAAAAGCAAGTTTCCTGCCACCTGAATGTCACATGTGAGAGGTACTTTATTGTAGGGACATGCCCACTGTGCAAAGAGAGGCACATCTGCATTTACCTCTGGAAAGGGATTTCTTCTGGGGGAGAAAAAAAAAAAAAAACATTTCCCCTGCAAGCCCAGGGAGACATCGGCAACACAAAGATTAAGTCATGGACAGTGAAAGGAGTATTTCCCAAGCTGGTATATGATACACACCTATTAATAAGTAAACGAGACAATCTCATCCCCATTCTCTTCTAAACACACTGACCTTGGGGCCAGCACCCACAGGGTTACTAACTTCACCTGTCCTGCCAGGACCATAGGCAAAGATATTTTGGGCAGCCTGAGGCCCTCCAAAGCTCTAAACTCTGGAGCAGGTGAATATACTCCCTTACCTTGGTTCCTGGCATTTCTGTTGCTAGAACAGAAAATGCTTTCTGGGCAGACAAAATATGCAATGGGGAAGTTTGACCAAGCAGTTTTTCACTTGAAAGAAAAGAAGTCACTGTTTGAAAATCCTAACTGCCATTGAGACCTCAACTGCCTGGTGGGACATTTCTGGTGATCAGCAGAGACCTAATTTTTCTTTTCAAAAGTCCTGCTTCTTCCCCACAATTCCTGGCTACAGAGCTCTGGGACATTTCTCATGCAAGGTCTTAAGGCCTCCATCATGAGAAATTACACTGTCTTCTCTCCAGTATTTTTCCCAAGAAATTATCTTTTTTAAAATGCAGCAACTCATATAGCCTCAGAGGGTGAATCCTCTTGAATGAAATGCAGTTTCACAGAATGGCAAGAGGAAGCCTGCTCTGGAACAGAACAAGTTCCCTCTCTACCACCACAAACAGCAGGGGAAAGGAAAGGGGGAACAGGTTTCTCGAATGAATGAACCAATGAGTCACCGTCTTTCATATCCGCCGCCGTGAACTGTGAGATATTGCACGTACATGCTCACACCTACAAAGACTCACTTCAGGCTCACCTTCATACCTGCCTGGAGGAGCCTGACCATTATTTAGAGAAATCACTAGCAAATCAAAGGACACTTCATAAGTCCCAATTGTTCTGTGTGCTTAACCAGGGCTCCTGAGGGCTGGGAGCAGTGGCTTCCTGGAGGGTCCTCTCTCTAGACCCTGGGACCAGGCACAGAAACTGATGTGGAGCAGCTCACAGATCCACTTCAGCTGGCCCCTAAAGGAGATCTAAAGCTAGGCAATTCCTCTGGAATCCTGGCTCGAGTCCTATACTTTGAAAGTGCCTTCCAGTCCTGGTGGTTGGGGGCAGTTTTCCTGCAAATGGAGGCGCCAGGTAGGCGCTTATTCAGAAATATACATGGGAAGAACAGGAAGGTGAGATGTACCAAGGCAGAAGATGGTATACCAGGGGTCTGTGGAGCTTCCCTGGAAACCCTGTATTAAAAAGATCTTTGTGCAATTATTTATTGACATAATTGAATACAGAATTGTTAGACAAATATCCCTGACACTTGGCTCAAAGTAGAGCATTTTGGTAATCATAGGTATTTGAATGTGGGCAAGGACCATGTTCTGAGGCACACAGAAGACCCAGGACCCTTCCTCTGAGGATGTGGATCCTCAAGAGCAGGGAGAGAGCAGCAAGATGTTAAGATGCATCTCCATGCCCAGAGCTGAGACCCCACCTCACCTGGCTCCATCCTATAGCCTTATAAAGCAGTCTACAATCTGCCTCACTGTGTCTTGTTTTCCTGTTGCTAAAACACTTTTGAGCCTCAAAACAAGCCATCATGTGCCTGGCTGAAGGCCATGGCTGCAGCTAACTCCGAACCTTCTCAGCTGGCATGGAAAAAACCGACTGACCTGTTGGTTCTGCTCAGCCTCTTCGTCCTTGTCTGGATACAAAATGGGATATCCATCTTCATCCCTCATTCTGTAAGAAATTTGCAGAAATTAGTTCCTTTTAGGCTCAGCAAAATCAAACTTGGAATTCACTTGCATTTCATGGCCCACAGATGAGCTTCCTAAACCATGGGTCTGGTGCAGGAAGCTTTGCCAGCCAGGGTGCTTGATGCTGAGTTCTCCCTGGCACTTGTATATTCTTTAACAAAGTGACACGGTGCAGCTAACATTATCACAGCACCCTCAAGTGCCTCTTGGCTCATACTTGATGCGATGCTTCTGGTGACGTGTTTTAATGGGTCTTTTAAGCACAGGTGGTAAGAGGATGAAGAGTTTCCTGTTTTAGGGCCGAGGCGCTCTCAGACTGTGTTCATGACACCATTCCCGTTCCCACCTCCACTCTGCATTCCCTTTCCACATTGCTAGAGAAGAAAGAAAGAAAAAAATGGCACAACTTTTTAGAAAAATCCCTGAGTGCACAACCTAGATAATGGCATTCCTTTGTCACCTCACTCCTGGAGGCTCAGGTGACAGCTGCAGACCTGAAGGATTAGGAGAAAGAGGGACTTTCAAGGGAGGCTGAAGAGAAAGGGAAAGAAACAAGAAAATCCTCAGCAAAGCTCTTCTCGGCTGAAGACTCTTGGTCCTGACCCTATCAGGAAGGCAATTTCCTTCTCTATAAAATGGGATGGTAACAGTACTCCCCCTCCTTGGCTGACGGAGGCAATAAAATAATCCTCTGGCTTACCATATATCTGTAGCAATCATCCTTTTCTTAGTGCAGTTGGTAGCTCACCAACAAGTGGTTAATACCACAGAAATAAGCCCAGACCCTATGGTGGGGAGAGTTCCTAAGCCAGCTCTGTCACAGCTCTTTAGGGGCAGAGAATTCCGTGTGTCTATTCTAAGTGGTGCCCTTGGGCTCAGGGTCCATCACGCCAGGTGATGGATGCAGTGTTGGTAGGACCATTGTGCTCTTAGAAGTGGTTTTCTCCAATATCAAAGATCAGAAAGGAAAATAAGGATCAAGGTAAAAGCATCATTTGAGTCATAGCCGAGACAAGCTCCATAATAATTAGGCACCAGAGCAAAAGCAAAGAAAAATGACGGCGAAGGGAAACGTTATACAACTAGTGTTGGCAGAAGAGCAGGAAGGAGATGTCGAAAGGAAAAGTTTGGTGCTCATTATGTAACTGTGCCTGCCTTGTCCCTGACAGTTAAGTGCTTGTGCTCTGGCCTTTGCCCCGTAGTCATCTTTTCATGCCCACTGAAATCAGAGTGCCTACCTCAATGACAGGGTGCCCCATGCCCAGCCTTCAGAATTCGGCCACCAGAGCTCTTCAAGGAGACTGATGCTCCCCTCGCTGACACAGTATTCAGGAAGCGTCCCTGAACTTGCCCTGGGGACAAGAAGTGGGTGTGCAGGTGCTTATGATAAATCCACTCCAACATCTCGGCCATGCCAGGCCCTCGATTCCTTCCTTTTCCATTATGCCGAGGAAATTTTGGAAAATAATTTGCAGAATCCCTGAGTCCTGCTTTCACTCAACCATCCAAACAGTCTCTTTAAGCCACTCCTGGTTGCTGGAGCTACGACTTTAAATTCAAAATCTCTTTACTCCTTCTTCCTTTACCTCATATCCTTAGAATCCGTTCTTATGCATATTCCTCAGGTTTGCACTAATTAACAAAACCTTGTAATCCTCTTGGAGAAAAGTCCCTCCTGGTCTCTCTCCACACCTGTGTCCAGGAGATGGTTCCCTAAGGTGCAGTCAACACCCCAAGCCGAGGCAGAATTCCTCCTGGTCTTCCTATCTTCTTGCTTCCTCAGTGAGCACTGGCATTTCTTCCAGTGAAACAGTTGTTCAGGAAGCAAAATCTGCTGACACAGACGTTCAGCTCTACCTTGGTGTTTCGCCAGAGATTTGACTTTGATTTTGAAATCGAAGAATCCTTCTGATCACGAGAGGGCCCCAGGGAAAACAAGCCTGAGGAAATGCCCCACAGTTCTCTGACCTGACAAAACTGCTTTTCTGCATTAGTCTTTGCAGGCTGAGGTTGAAGACTCAATAACACCTCCATGGCATCTCAACCTCACCTTTACACTCTCTCCAAGTGCCAGGAGACAGATTGGGATCAAGACAGCCTGGAAAGTCGACAATGACAGAGTGCAGGTCTGCTGAGGAGGAAAGCAGATACCTGGCTGAGCTGAAAGCTTCTGGAACCACCTTTCACCAAGCCTGATTGCCTTGCACCCCACACCCTCTCTCCAAGCCCTGCAGTCACTTGGGGAGGTAGGTATCCTTGCCCCATTTAAGAGGTAAGGACATGGAAGACTTGGCCTCACCCACATGCTTGCTCCACATCCACACCTGTGCCCAGTGGTGACAGCAAGACAGGGAGGTTGGCACTGCACTCCTTGGATAAGAAGAGGATAGTTTGCCTCCGATCGTGGTGAGATGACAGTGGTACAGGCTGCTGGGTCAGCTGTAGGAGTTGACTTGTGCTCTGGCCACAGCTCTGATCCCTGCATTTTTAGGAACTGTCACCCTTCCTTTCTCCTCTGGCTGGCATCCTGCTCTTCCAAATTCCCTAGATGCAGAGGGAAGAACACCTCATGCTATTCCATTTTCTTTTTTTCTTGCTTTAGAAGCACCTCCTAACTGTATAGTTTAGAAAAGCCTAGAATTGGCAGCAAATTGGACCTTTCTAGTCACTAAAGAATTTTAAAAAAATCCATGTGGCTTCTGAAATGTACATGAGAAAGCGTATAATTCCTAAATATAAAGCACTACTCTGGTGGGTAGGCTGCACTCACAGAAATCATGTTTTGTGCCTTGAGACTAATCATTGACCTGAGTGTGCAAGGTTAAAAAAAAAAAAAAAAAGACTTCAGCATCCGTGTGCAAGCATAAGAAGAATCACTCTTTCCCCAAATGGTGGATTTGTATTTATTTATTTTTTGCGAGAAGGCTCAGTTCCTCAGTTATGGTTGGAAACCTTCTGAATAAGCTTCGGTGGGAGAGTTGAGGATTTAGATCTGATGGACACGTGAGCCCGAGTCCTTGCTCTGTCATTCCTAGTTGTATGGTGTCTCGAGCAAGCCAGTGAACTGTCTCCTTGTGGGTAGAATGGGAACAGTGTGTCCCGTGGAGGGCGCTTGTTCAGATAAACCAGACGAAGTGGGGGAGGAGGAGCCAGCAAAGGGTACAAATGAGAACAGTGGCACCAGGGACGCCTCAGTCTTATTCCCCTGGCCCTGGGGACTTCTATTCTGGTTAGAGGAAGAGAAATTTTTCCACATGTTCCAAGAATTTCTGCAGGAATTTCTTTCTGATTCGATGTCTAAGAAAGGAGGGTTTTACTGCAGAATTTGGCAGTGATTCAAAATCAACAACCCAAAACATGGAAGAACCAGCGTCAAGTCTTTAGGATCACTGTGACCCTGAGGGGAAGATCAACATAACCTACAGGACTCTGAGCACAGAGACTTGGTACACGATGGTTCCTGACTAGCAGGGTTGATGGTCACCTACACAACCGTAAAATTAGCAATTCCTATGGAAGGCTCCTATTCCAAATGGGAAGAAGTAGAAACCAGATTCTTCCAATCAAGCTTAAGAGCAGGATGAGAGAAATGAGCGCAAGGCACATGCCAGGCTAGAGGAAGGTGAGGATTTAAATCCCCAGGTGACAGAATTCTATGGTTGCTTCAGTTTTAATCCTACTCTTCAAAATTACCTCACTCCGGGAGTTTAGAATGCAAAATTGCCAAGGCAGTGTAGGGAGGGAGTTTGCTGCTCCAAGGCAGACAACACGGAGCGGCCTGTGGGGTTTGCAGCATCCGGCTTCTGTCAGGACAGAACTGAGTGGGAAGGGGACAGATTCAACAGTGCGACTGTTGAGAGCCTGGCTGTGAACACCCAGGGAACCAGGGGCTTAGACTCTAGCATGGCAGCCATCCCTTCTCCTTCTGCCGAAATGGAATCTGCCTGATGGACATCCCTCCTCCCAGGGGACCCAGTTCTTAGAAATCATGTTTTGTGCTTTGGGCCTAATTAACAACAAAGGGTCATTTTATCTTTGCTCTCCCGATTTGGTTTCTGATTCACTTTCAATTCCTGTTATTATGAACCAAGTCAGTCAGAAAGGGATTATGGAGAGCACTCTGCCCCCCCCCCACCCCGTCTCCCCCACCCCCCATCCCACAGATGTCCCCTCCCCCCCATTCCTTAGTCCTTGCTGCTAGGGCTGAATCTGAGCGCATAAGTGCCATTAAGTGACATTCATCAAAACACTCTCCATTGTTCCCAGACACCAGCGGCCGAGAGGTGGAAATTACTTGGCATTTCATTTTAATCTGTATTGAAGACTTGCTTGACAAAACATATTAAGTGTAAGAATTGCCAGCTTGGGAATGAAGCTATGTTTATGGCCTGCACCATATTTTTCCTTCCTAAAGGAAATGACACTTCCCCCTATCCTTCCCCATCCTCTGCAGCTCACCCTTCCCCCACACATGAAACCTTAACATTTAATTTTCTTTCGTGAGTAAAGCTTTTGTTGGCGGTGTCTAGAAAATGATAATAAACATCTTGTGCCCCTGCACCAGCGTCTGAGATTAAAACACACACACACACACACACACACACAAACTCTGCCTTTAATATGGTACAACATTTCTCAGGGAGCCATGTTGTGGCCATCTAACTGTAGGCCCCATGTGAGCAAAGTGCTTCTCTGGAGAGAGACTGTCACCACGTGCTTGTGCTTCCGACAAAGGCCGATGCCATGCTAATGGATGCACATGGTTACTGGTTAAGAGGGACCAGGATTCTCCCTGCTGGGCTGACAGTCGTGGATGTTATGTGTGTCATGCCTGCATGGCACAAGTTTTATTTTCTTTGGTGCCTCAAGTCATCTTTCAGATGACTTTGACATTGTGTTAGAAAACAAAAGGCTCTCCCAAATGGGAGATTGTTTTATTTTTTTCTCCTCCTTTTGGTCTCTTTCCAGATTAGGAGGCTGCTC